GTGCAAGTCATCAATTACATGAGGCAACCCACCAGCTCTGCGTACGGACCACTAAGCTGTACAGACTCCTCAGGGACTAGAGCTGAGAGTCTGTAATCTACTGGCAGATGTGTGGGATGTGCGGAGGAGAACTGCAGACCGAACCTCTGAAGGACCTAGCGTACCAAGTGTGACTGTGTGAGAGTGATGGTGTACGCTGATCTATCCTTGGAGATCTGCAGGCCAAGGTAGCGGCATAGCTCTCCTAGGTTAGTGCAGGTGTGTCTCCTCAGCAGCTCGGCCTTCACGGAGGCCAGTGCATCTCTGTCTGAAGTAGCAAAGACCAGGTCGTCTGCGTAGGCAAGGATGTAGACCAAGGTTTGCCTGAACAAACGAAGAGCGAAGGGTCTGCAGAGGACAGGAAGAACTGCAGGTCAGCTAAGGTAGCACAAAGCGTTTCAGGCCACTCGTGCAGCACCTGCCACACGCCGTAAACCAAGCGCCGGAGGAGCCACTGGGTCCTCGGGGCGAAAGTGTCGGTGAAGCCTGGCGGGCGACATAGGTAGACCTGCTCGTGCAGATTGCCCTAAAGAAATGCTGTCGAGAAGTCCAAAGAGTGCAGCTCGTAGTCACGCTGTGCCTCTACGTGGAGCAGTTCCCGAAGAGTTATCTTTGGGGTCGGGGCGAAGGTCTGAAAGAAGTCCACACCCTCGCGCTGACTGAAGCCTCTAGCAATGTAGCGCGCCTTGAAAACTGGCGGCTCTTGAGGAGGGCGTTTCACTTTGAAGAGCCATCGGCCATCAACTACGTTCACCCTAGGCGGGGGAACTGCGTCGATGTAGGTGCCGGTAGATCTCCAAGATGTCATCTCCGCGTCCATGACAGCTATCCACCGAGAGGAACAGGGTCCCGAGGTCGCCTCAGCGTAAGTGCGAGGGGTCGGGATGTCAAGGGCATCTTGGTCACCCTCAGGGACTAGCGGCATGGAGCAGAGATGAGGCGCGGTCTCGGACAGGAAAGCAAGCTCATACTGCCGGTCCTCCACGACGTCACTGACAAGGATAGGAGCACCCCCAACGGATGGAGGACGGGCAGGATCAGAGACCAGAGCGGTGGCGTAGTCAAGGCGGCGGGTAGCGGCAAAGTCAGTGACGGCAACGACAAGAGCGTCAAGACTGGAGACAGGAACAGACGAGTCGGTAACAAGAGAGGCGAGGACCCGAGGTAAAAGAGGACTAGCGACACGGAGGAAGTCCAATAAGGGAGGCAGAGCGACAGCCAGCGACGACGGAGGAGGCAACGGGAGGAGAGAAGGAGAAGACGCGTGGGAACGAAGCAAAATAGGGTAAGAGCTCTGGACAGGTGAGACAGGACGAGCACGAGAGGGACGACGAGACCAGAAGTGGGACGGAGGCGTGGGGTCAGGAGACACTGGAGGAGAACGCGGGGGAAAATAAGCCAAAAACGAATCTGGCGGAGGAAACACTGGACTGTAGACAGGCGGGTGAGGCGTAGGCGGGCGGTCAGGGGAGGGAAGATTGAGGAGAAGAAGGGCGGACACCGGCGACGACTGCTGCTGCTGCTCTACACCGACACCAGAACCTCCATCTGCACTCCGACGACCTCCGGGATGCTCCACGATAGCACCCCCAGGATGAGACTCTCCAGCACCGGTGCCACCCCCAGGACCGCCGGGACGAGCCACGACAAGAACCCCTGGACTAGCACCCCTAGAACCAGCACCCCCAAAACCAGCACCCCCAGAATGAGAACCATCTCCAGCACCAGTGCCGCCCCCAGGACCGCCAGGACAAGCTATGACAGTAACCCCAGGACTAGCACCGTCCTCAACCCGCACACCCCTTGAACTCGCGGACCCCTGTAGCGGCTGCTGCTACGGCTGCGACGGCAGGGACTGTTGCTGCGGCTGCGGCAGCGACGGCGACTGCTGTGGCGGCGGCGGAGGAGAAGGAGGAGACACCGGGGTGGAGACAAAGCCGCGGGGCCCCTGGAGTCAGCCGACTCCTCCACCGGAACAACCAATAGGAGGTGAGTGAAGTGAGACACACATGACGGGGCAGGTTGGGGAGGGAGAGGAGCAGGAGCTACCAGGGGAGTGGGAACCAGGAACGGGGGCAGGGCACCTGAGAGACCTCGGTGGAGAAAACGGGTGTAGAAGGAAATAGACTCGTCAAAAGTGACGTCCCGAGAGTTAAAGAAACGGTGAGAAGATGGGTGGTAGAAGTGCAAGTCAAACACGTCGAGAGGGAAACCAAGGAAGACACAAGGGACGGTGCGGGCAGTGAGCTTGTCCATGCCAGAGGCACGAACGTGAGCAAGGCAGCCCCAGACATGGAATGCAGACGTGTCACCAGAGAACCTAGTCCAGAGAAGGGTGCGGATTGCATCCACAGTTTAAGCTGGTGAGCGGCGTAGCGAACAGCGAATGGCCACAGAAAATCGGGTGCACCAGCATGGATCATGGAGGTACGAGCCACCTCCATGACCAAACCGATGCGTTACTCAATGACCCCATTCTTTTGCAGGGAGTCCGGCAGGGTGTACGAGTGGGTGATGCCCTCCGCACGACAGAACTGTCTGAGCCGACCGGAGGCGAAATCGTCACCACGGTCAAAGTGAAGACGCAGCACAGGGAGGCCGCGATGGACACGTACAGCTACGACCCACAGGTTAAGAACGTCAGGCACGTCGACCTTACGCTCCAGGGAAAAAACCGTGGTGTAGTGCTTGTAGTTGCCAACAAGCACTAGAAAGTAGCGCTCTCTCCAGGGACGAGGGCTGTGCCCCAAACGTCCAGGTGCAGGGTCTGGAGTGGCGCAGTGGTAGGGGGAAACCAGGAGGAGTTAGGAGCATGGCGCATCTGGCCCTTGATGCAGGGCATGCACGGCGGCACAGGCAAGGGAGGTAGGGCAGGGAGCGAGGCAGAGAGCGACGCACGGAGACCGAAGACAAGACCGTGATCGGACATGTGACGGAGACGCGGGAGTGCGAAGTGACCTAGGTGGTGGTGTCGCAACAGCGACGGGTGGGTGAGCGACCGACATGAGCAAGCTGTAGTAACCTGGGAGGACGCGACGACCTGGGGGGACGCTCCCACTAGGGGGGACGCAGTGTCTAGGGTGAACAGGCTAGACACGGGGTCCCGAGGGAACGTGGTGAGAGGGGCACTAGTGGCGGCATCGGTACAGACTGCGTACCGCTCGTGTCTAGGGAACGTAATGGTGACGCTGAGGTCTTGAAGACAGCCGACACCAACTAGGTTCTTGAAGAACGAGGGGATGTGCAGGCCTGTAAGAGAGCCCAAGGGAACCGCCAGATGGGGAAGGGTAGTGGAGCTACAAGCAACTACCGGACCTGATGAGAGGTGAGCCAGCGCTACAGGGGCAGGGGCAACAAGTGGCGTGAGTGCATTGTGGTCGCAAAAGAAGCAGGCGGACGCACTAGAGTCTAGCGTGAACAAGAGCGCGGTGGTAGCAGCCACAGGCGGAGGAGCTAGGGTGGAGCCGAGGCTAAACAAGGCAGGTGGTCCTACGCCTGACGCAGCAGGGGAACCTAGACTACACACGGGGGACACACCTACACTAGGCAACACTGGGTAATAGGGTCTAGTCACACTACAGTCATCAGCTTACATGGCATACAGAGCAGACCTAATCTTATCCATGTCAAGCTCAAAAACAGGGACAGGGCAATGCACCAGGCTGTACCAGTCGGGAGGGTCCGACACGGGGCCGAAGCGGAGACGGAAGAGGTCGTCAAGGCGGCGGTAGCTGCGGACGGTCGCAGACGGTGCCGCGGCGGGGGCTAGACTGAAACTGGTACTGGCAGGTGACCACACTGGAGCCGCCACCCGACACCGAGCTGCGTGCCCCACCACTACGGCCACCACCACCAGCGTCGCCAGGCCACCACGACGGCAGGGGTTCCCACAGCGAGTGCCGCTACTGCTATTGCTGCTGTTGGGGCTGTTGCTGGGGCTGCTCCTGTTGCTGCTGCTGCTTCGGGGCGTCAACCCCAATCCCCTTGTCTGCACCACCGTCCCCGCCCCCACCTCCACCACCCCCAACACCCCCACTACCCTTCCCTCCGCCACGTCCCCCTTGGGGCGGCGGCCCCTACCCTGACGCGGTTGTGGCGAGGCCGCGGCGGCGGTCTCAGCAGCAGGGGCTGTCTCACCGACAGTGGCAGAAACGTCTGAGTAAGGGGACTGAGAGGGAGCATAGCCCTGGAAGATGGGGACCGCCGCAGTACTGCTAGACTGAGCAATAGTGCGCTGGCGGGCCTCTATCATGGACAGGGTGGTGACGAAGGCAGTAAGGGTGAGGTCACCAGGGTGCTGACTAAGGAAGTGGTCGCGGGCAGTGGCTAGGTAGTCAGGAAGACACGTGGCAATGAGGTAACGGGTAGTGCAAAGCGGCGGTGATAGCTAGTCTCAAGTGCGCGGAGGTGAGTGACGAGATCAGCGACAGTGGGGAAGGATGCAAGGTCAGTGAACAGCATGGGGAGGATCAGGTGGCCAGCAGAGGCTGAGGAGGAAGTGGAATAGCGAGCAATGATTGCATCTAAGTACTCTTTTGCTTTTTCTTCAACGGTAAAGCGGGGACGCTCAAACAGGGGACGCTCAAACAGGGGGAGGGCGTGACTAATGGCAAGCTGTGCAACGGCATCGTGCGACTCCCAGACATTCAGAACCTCCACAAAGCATCAAGGAATTACTGAAGGAGTTCCAAGACATTCTTCCCGACGACCTTCCGAACGAGCTGCCGCCATACCGAACTCACCAACACGAGATCGTGGAAGAACCACGTTCGAAGCCGACCTTCCGAGCACCATATTGGCTCAGCCCCACGAAGCTAGCCGACATGAAGAAACAAATCGAGTATCTCCTCGCGAAAGGACTCATCCGACCATCTACTTCACCATACGGTGCCCGAGTACTCGTCACACCAAAACCAGACGGAATCCTGCGCATGTGCATCGATTACCAAGCTCTGAACAAGCAGACCATCAAGAAAAAATACCCAATACTACGAATCGATGACCTGCTTGACCAGCTTCGGGGAGCCACGGTATTTTCCAAACTGGATCTTCGGTACAGATACTGGCAGATATGAATGGCGGACAATTCCATCCACAAAACCGCTTTCCGCACAATGGTACGGGTCGTACGAGTATCTGGTAATGCCCTTCGGACTCACCAACGCACCGGCAACGTTGCAAGCTGAAATAAACCATATCCTATGCCCACTCTTGGATGAATGCGTGGTGGTGTACCTGGACGACATTCTCATCTACTCGTGCGACATGCAGCAGCACGTCCAACACCTGCGACGCGTCTTCGACATTCTTCGACGAGAACGATTCTACGTCAAGTTATCCAAGAGCGAATTCGCCCTCGAGAAAGTCCAATTCCTAGGACACATGGTGAGCGCTCAAGGAGTTCACGTCGACCCCAAGAAGATTGAAGCCGTACGCACGTGGAAGACACCCGGGAACGTGAAGGAGTTGCTGCAGTTCCTAGGCTTCGCTAACTATTACAACAGGTTTGTGCCACAGTACGCGAAAATTGCAACACCACTCACAAATCTGCTGAAGAAGAACACGCCCTAAAAGTGGGAACCAAAACATCAGGAAGCCGTGGAGTAGCTGAAACAAGCACTCACGTCTGCACCTGTACTCATCTTGCCAGACCCCGAACGCGACTACGTCATCAAAGCTGACGCCAGTGACCAGGCAGTGGGAGCAGTCTTGATGCAAGACCAGAGGAATGGACTGCAACTAATTGCCTACCTCAGCAAGAAACTACATGGGGCAAAACTAAACTACCCGATACACGACAAGGAGGCCCTTGCTATTATCATCGCCTTCAAAGTGTAGAGATGTTATCTCGAAGGACGGAAAACAACCGTTTTCACCGACCACTGCAGCCTGAAATATCTGAAGACACAACCAAACCTCTCCAGGCGGCAGGTCCGGTGGATTGACTTCCTCGAGACGCACTTCCACTATGACATCGTGTACAAGCCCGGCCACAAAAACAAAGTAGAAGCTCTCACTCGGCCTGCACACGTTGCCGCAATCCAGGTCGAAGGGATGAACCCACTACTCAAGGGAATCTTCACACACGGGTACGCCATCGACCCTGAAATTCCTTTGGCAGCAAAACGACACCTGCTACTGTGGGGCAGTGGCATCGCATACCGGAAGGGATCAACGAAAATCTGGGTACCCAATTACCCTCCTTTGCGCCAGTTACTACTCGAAGAATACCACGATGTCCTATACGCGGGACACTTCGGTAGCAACAAGACGCTCACCGGTATTGCAAAGCACTACTACTGGCCCCACATGGCAGCCAACGTCCAGCAATTTGTCAGCGGATGAAGAGCAGCAAGCAGGAAAAAGCAGGACTGCTACAGCCTCTTCCTGTCCCAGAACAGCCATGGCAAGTGGCTAGCCTGGATTTCAGCACTGGGTTACCAACTACTACAAGCGGTCATAACGCAATCCTCGTCATTATTAACAAATTATCCAAAATGGGACACTCCATCCTTACTCACACGACAGCACGCACCGAAGAGACAGCACAACTATTCGTTCGCTACATCATCTCACAACATGGCATTCCAACCACACTCATCTCCGACTGAGACCCCAAGTTCACTAGCAAGTTCTGGAAGGAACTGATGTCTCTGCTTGGGACCAAACTCGCCATGTCATCCGCCTAACATCCGCAGACAGATGGATCGACCGAGTGCCTCAACCAAATTGTAGAGCAACTTTTCCGCGCAGCATGCAAAGACGAAATCTCTAAATGGGACTCGGACCTGCCTATCCTGGAGTTTGCCTACAACAACGCCACTCATGCTGCTACTGGACAGACGCCGTTGTTCCTCTGCTGCGGACGCCACCCGCTCACACCACAAAAACTGACAGCATCAGCTACAGTCCAACCCACACACGACTTCATCACGACCATGCATCAGCTTTGGGATCGGACCCACAAGCGCCTCCTCGACATTCAGCAGCAATAGAAGCGCCAGGCCGATCGCCACCGCACTGACCACACCATCACCGTGGGAGACCAGGTTCTACTCGACACCCGCAATATCAACATCAGTCATCTCCCATCCAAACTGCGACCTCGCTTCTGCGGGCCCTTTCTCATTGAAGCACAGGTCCCTCCTGTTACCTTCAGCTTACGCCTGCCAGCTACCTGGAAGATTCACAACGCCTTCCATGTCCAACTTCTGAAGCCCCATCGAGACCCTAACACGGTCTTCACCGGACGCCAACCCCCGCCACCGCCGCCCATCCTCGTCCACGATGAACCCGAGTACGAGATCGAGTCCGTGCTCGCACACCGCCGTCGTCGGAATGGCACCGTGGAGCTTCTCATTTGTTGGAAGGGTTATGATCCTTTTGAGGATAGTTGAGATCCTGAATCCGAGATGGGTAATGCTCGTCGTCTTCTTTGCGACTACCTTGTCAAGTAGGGTGTTACTTCTACCACCCAGCTTTGAGAGGGGGAAGTGTGAGAGTACGACCCCGTAACACCAATTTCCCTTTCCATATCTCCTTTCCATTTTATTCCTCTTTTTATGTCATCTCATTTGGTTTCCTTTTCCTCCTATTCCATTATCCATTGGTTGATCCTGTTATGATCATTATATCATCGATCAGGCTCGGGATGTACTGGCGTGCTATATCTAGCGTAATCTAGCACAATCCCTTAAAGCCAAAAGCCTCGTTTGGCTATACGCAGGGTGATTCTATTTCTAGAAGGGTTTATTCCCTTTGGATATGATAAACCTGGTTACCTCATGTACTTTGGAACTATAAAAGCGCCTTGTATCAATTGATAGTGCAACTTTTCCTCGACACATTCGATCCTGTGACACATACACACACACACACACACACACACACACACACACACACACACACACACACACACATACACACACATACACACACACACACATACACACACACATACACACACACACATACACACACACACATACATACACACACACACACATACACACACACACACACACATACACACGCACACACACACACACACACACACGCACATACACAGGCACACATATACATACACAGACACATACACAGACACATACAAATACACACACACACACACACACACACATATACATACACATACATATACACACACACATACACATAGAGACACACAGGCACAAACACACCTGTATGGGGTACACTTAGCACTTATTCCCTAGTGCTTCTGGCACATTTTTCCCTTTTATTGGATTCCCATGGCAGATACATTTGTGCACAACCCATAACGACCTGGAGATCCCTTTGAATATGCCGTTACTGACTGGACAATGTCCACCATGCGCGGCCGCCTGCGGAATTCGCTAACCTGGTAGCGTCATGGTGCACCAGTGGCTTGATCATACCAGTCATTGACAAAGGGTACTAGATGCCCTGGAAACATGGCCCCCCACAACCATTTCGGAAATCCAACCATGGAGGAGGCGAAATTCATGCGGAATTCACAAATTCGGCTATTGCATACCTCCTCCAAACCGGTGCGGTAGCAAAGGTGCCAGAATCAGCGATTACATGTGTCATCCCTCTCAACGTCGTAGAACAGCATGACAAATGTCTCCTCATCCTCGATTTGTGCTATGTCAACAAGGAACTGCAAATTCCTACATTCAAGTACGAGGGACTCTCTCGTATTGCCGACTTGGCGCACGCGGGTGATTGGATGTTCTCAATCGCCCTGAAGTCTGGGTATCACCACGCCGACATTCATCCGTCATGCTGGAAATTCTTGGGTTTCCAATTCGAAGGATGCTCATGTTGCTTCTGCTCCCTTCCATTTGGATTGGCTACAGCTCCTTTCATCTTCACACATTTAATCAAGCAGCTTGCACGACACTGGAGAATGAAGGGAGTGCGGGTCATACCGTATGTGGACGACATCCTCTTCTTTTGTCAGTCTGAAGCCGACGTCTTGGACACCTGCAACCAAATTATTTGTGATCTATGCAGCACTGGCCTAGTGATCAATGCACAGAAATCCCAACTTCGTCCCACCCAACGTCCGCGCTTCCTGGGTTTGGAACTTGACACCGAACTCTGCCAATTCTTAGTGGGTTCGGAACAACACAACTCCCTATTATCTACCATCCAGTTGCTCCTAGAAGCTGGACATAACCAGTCCACAGTCCCCGTCCAGCATGTCGCACATGTTACAGGCATGCTCGCTTCAATGGTGCTCGCACTCAGGGCCACTGCTCGGGCATTTAGCCATGCACTATTGCAGACTGTCAATAACGCTACTTCATGGAACAACAAACTCCTGCTATCGCCTTCCGCTTGTGAGGAGCTGGAATTCGAGTCAACTGAGTTTGACCACTACAATGGTGTGCCTTTTCATATGCGATGCAGCTACGATGCTATAATTTACGTCGACGCAAGCGGCCATGGCTGGGGCACCACCCTTGACACATTTTCTGGAAACATTCGTGAAGCCAGCATGAACATGCCAGTAGACTAACGACGCACGTCCAGCAATCGTCGCGAGATTGAAGGGGTACTGTGGGCATTGCAGACATACAGTGACCTACTCCGGAACAAACACGTGCTCGTGCACGTGGATAGTCATGGAGTCTTCTTCATCTTGAAGAAAGGTGGCTCATGCAGCCCTGATCTCACCCTCGCCTGCAAATCGATCACCCGCACGTGTACTACCTATCGAGTCCGCATAATCATGGAATGGATCCTTCGTGAACTCAACACGCATGCGGACGAGCTTCTCTTCGCTTTGCTTGGCTTCGCTTGGCTTTGCTTGCCTTTGCTTGGCTTCGCTTGGCTTTGCTTGGATTTGCTTGGCCTCGCTTGGCTTTGCTTGACTTTGCTTGGCTACGCTTGGAATTTCTTGGCTTTGCTTGCCATCGCTTGGCTTCGCTTTGCTTTGCTTTGCTTGGCTTCGCTCGGCTTTGCTTCGCTTAGCTTCGCTCGACTCTGCTTCGCTTCGCTTTGCTTCGCTCTGCTTGGCTTCACTTCGCTTGGCTTTGCTAGGCTTTGCTTGGCTTCGCTTCGATTCGCTTGGCTTTGCTTGGCTTGGCTTTGCTTCGCTTTGCTTGGCTTCACTTCGCTTGGCTTCGCTTCGCTTGGCTTCGCTTCGCTTTGTTTTGCTTTGCTTCGCTTGGCTTCGCTTGGCTTCGCTTGGCTTCGCTTGGCTTCGCTTGGATTCGCTTGGCTTCGCTTTGCTTGGCTACGCATGGCATCGCTTGGCTTCGCTTGGCTTCCATTGGCATCGCTTGGCTTCGCTTGGCTTCCCTTGGCTTTGCTTGGCTTCGCTTGGCTTCGCTTGGATTTGCCTGGCTTCGCTTGGCTTTGCTTGGCTTCGCTTGGCTTTGCTTCGCTTTGCTTGTCTTCGCTTGGATTTGCTTGGCTTTGCTTGGCTCCGCTTGGCTTCGCTTCGCTTTGCTTGGCTTCGCTTGCCATCCATTGGCTTTGCTTCGCTTTGCTTGGCTTCGCTTGGCATCGCTTGGCTTTGCTTCACTTTGCTTGGTTTCGCTTGGCTTCGCTTGGCTTCGCTAGACTTCGATTCGCATCGCTT